ATTTGGTGGGGATACAGAGCAGGGGACTCTGTTGGAGTGCTGAGTGGTGCTTGAAAACAGCCTGAAAATAAGTGCTCGAAAGCTCAGGATAATTGTCATTTTCATTCTCATTCCCCACAACCGTGTCCCCGTCGTGCCTTCTTATTTCTGTTTGGGGCAGCGGCACAAGCTGGGTTATGCTGCAATAACAAGCAATCCCCTGACCTCAGAGGCTTAAGCTGGAAGAAGTTGGTGTCCGACGCATGCTACATATCCAGTGGGTCCCCTGGGGCTCTGCTCCATATCTCCTCTGCACAAGGGACCCAGGGTACATAAGTGGCCACCATGATGATGACAAATGTCATTCGAAGGGAAAGAGAGAGTGTGGGCAATCACACACTGACTGGCTCTTAACGCTTCCACCTGAAATGCTCACATGTCACTCCTGCTCATAAGACATTGGCCAACGGGTCGCATTGCTCCGTCTAACACAAGCTGGGAACTTATCACAACCTCCTAAATCTCTCTGTTGAACCTGATCACGTTACTTCTCCTCCATGTCTGCTGTCACCTCCCCCAGCAGCTTCTCTCCTTCCCTAGACTTCTCCAGAAGCCCCACCTGATTTCCCTAATTTCTCTTGGGCTTCTTTCCCCTAATCTGCTCTCCATACTCCAGAGCAAGGTTTTCAACATGCAAATCTGATGTCATTACCCTCACCTCAAGTTAAAACACTTCATAGCCTTTCCGTTGATCTCCATCACAGTTGGGCCCTGATGTACCCCGCTAACCTCATCTCGGGCCATTGCTCCCCATCACTGTCCTTTGGAGTCCTTGAACTGCAGGCTCTTTGCATTGACATTGTCTTCACTTAGAATCCTCTTGCCCCCAAATCCCTCCCCCCAGGTAGCTCCCAGCCAGGCATGCTTTCTCCAGAGAAGTCTCTCAGGTAACCTTTGGAGAGTCCACCATGAGCCTCCCCTGTGTATTACTCCCTGCAATCACAACTGTGTTTGCGTGGATGGCTCAGGGACTCTAAGCTCCACAGGGCACAGGCCTTATATTATTTCTCTTCAGCTATATATTGTCTCAGCCTAATTGCATAGTGCTTGGCACTCCTTAAATATTAATGGATTCAACGATTGAATGAATGAATTTCAAGTTCTCCCATTTCTATTTGCCAAAATATCCACCTTTAAAACAATATTTTATTTATTTGTTCATGAGGCACACAGAGAGAGGGGCAGAGACACAGGCAGAGGGAGAAACAGGCTCCCTGTGGGGAGACCGATGTGGGACTCGATCCCAATCATGACCTGAGCCAAAGGCAGACATTCAACCACTAAGTCACCCAGGTCTCCCCCAAATATCCACCTTATCTGAGGGTTCAGGTCAAAGGCAAAGCCCTTTGAGTGTACCTTCCTTGTCGTATTTATCACATTTCCTTGTTCTACAATCATTGTGAATTTGTCTTTCCTTCCCCCATGGGGTCTAGTAGCTTCAGAGCTTTGCCTATTACTGACAATTAGTGTGTGGCTGTTAAATTGACCCAAGGTAGCTAAACTCACCCTTTCTGGTTTTGAGGCAGAATGAAGTCTACATGGCATCTCCGTTATACTCTGCCCAGGGGTGTGGCTCTGCCCATCTCCCTGACCCCATCCTCTTCCCCTCCTCTTCACCCCATCCATGCCCTCTAACCACAGCAGCCTTTTGGCTCTTCCTCAAGCAATGCAAGCTTATTCCAACTGCAGGCCCTTTGCACTCCCTGTTGCTCCTCCCAGAGCACTCTAACCCTGGGTCTTCGCAGGATTGTGTCCCTCACTCAATTCAGGTAATTGCTTAACTCTCACCTCTCCAGAAAGCTCTTCCCCATCAAAAATGGCATAACCTCTTTTCTCTCTACTTAAAATTGTTCTCCGCTTTTTAAATTGTTTAGTATAGCTTTCATAAAGGCATGCCCTATATTTATTTGTTCATTTTCTGGTCCTTCACTTCAGTGTGGGGAGGAGTCCATGAGGGGAGGAGTCATCTGCCTTGCTTGTCACAATATCTTCAGTCCCTTCAGCCTCTAGAATGATGCCTGGCACAGAAGGGGTCAATGAACCCCTGTGAAGGAAGGATTTTTAATGATACTGATTCCCTGGCTAGTTTTGTCACATGGGGACATAATTAAGAGATTTAACTTGATTGATATTTTAGCTGCAGGGTAACAGGTATTTTCTAGGTGTTCCTGTAAGAATAGGAGGAATCGTCTTGCAACTTTCAGTCTGTTTTTCTTTCCATTTCTGCCTGTCTTTCTGACTCTGTCTCTCACTTTCTCAACCAATCAAAGTCACATACACATATACACATACATCTACTCAGAACAACTTTATTAGATCATTAGTTGAGGTGATGGAAAGTTGACGTTCTTTGATTTTGTTCTTCATGTGTTGTAGATTTCAAATAAATTAAGTTAGTCCCAAGAAAACAAAGTATGAATTTTGCAATTTTCTGAGAATTATTGGAACCAGGTCTTCAACACGAGATACGAGTCTATAAATATTCTCAATGCTTAAAGCAGTAATTACATTTCTGTGCTGATTCGCACGTAAATGTTTTCATATTTCTGCCACATGCATGTTGAGTGTACATAGTTTTCTTTTTTTCTTTCTTTTTCTTCTTCTTTTTTTTTTTAAAGAAAAGCACATAAAATACAAATCTTTCTACTTCAAAGTGGCGGGAGAGGAGTTAGAGTTCTAAATATTCTCTGATTTGGAATGGTGTTCCACTAGCATGAAACCAACATTTCATCAAAGTGGCTTGCTTCAATCAGGGTTGTACCGGTGAGATATAAATTATAAATCATATCTTCTGTTTTACATGAGAAATGGGAGCTCTGAGGTGGATCGTGCTTGAACAGATGGACTCGAGGTGGTTTCATGTCTTCTGCTGCTTATGTTTTGCTTCTAATGTCATTTTCAAAGATTCCATCATTAACTTCAGAGGCACTCAGGCAAGGTTCTTTCAACAACTAAATATGGGTTTTGGCAAAGGTTCCAGCAGCCCAACAAGGCAGGGTGGCCTGGGGTGGCTGGGGAGGCACAAATGGACCAGAGGAGTGGGCATGGAGAAGAGGACCGAGCAGGGGACAAGGAAGGGGCATCCCCCGATGCCCTCTCAGTTCCACTCTCTTAGCTAGAGAATGCCAGGGAAGGAATATAGGACTGACTTTCAGGTCCAACTTCATCTGCAGCCCATTGTTAATTGTGGGCCTCAGCTTCCCAGCTAATCGGTACCTAACATACGAGGTTGGACCAGGTGGGCTGATAGGCCACTGCATGGTTTGTTATTTGCTGGAATTCTGTTCCATAAGAAGTTTCTGAGAGTTAGGGTGACCAATAGCAGGGTGGGTGGCTCAGCACCATGGAAGTTTATTTTGTCACTGTTCTGGAGGCTAGAGGTCCAAACTGAAAGTGTCAGTAAGATCATGTTTGCCCTGATGGCTTTAGGAGACTCCTTCTTTTCCTCTTCCATCTTCTGGTGGTCCTGGTTGTTCCCTGGCTCATGGCCACATCACACCAACCTCCATCTCTGTCTCTACATGGCCTTCTGCTCTGTGTGTGTCTCTCTGTGTCCTCTCCTCTTCTTATGAGGACACCAGTCATGGGATTTAGGGGGCATCCTTAATCTTGAGGTCCTTAACCAATGACACCTTTGGAGCCCCTGTTTCCAAATAAGGTCACCTTTCTGACATTGTGAGGGACATGAATTTGGGGGGAACACTATCCAACCCATGGCGCCCCCGTATGCCTCTGTTGCCCTGGATTTCTTGTCATCTCCCTTGGACTCTACGAAGCTCCCCTGGATCCAGCAACTGAAGTGTTAATTCATGGCACGGCAGGTCACCTAGGGACCCTGCTCCAGGCCTCCGGGCAGGACTACAGGATCCTAGGGGCTCTGGCTACAGCATGCTGCTGCCATAAGCAGCACAGACAGCACAAGGGGGAGAGCTGGGATGAGCACATTGAGGACCAAAGAGACTTCAGACGTAGACAAAGGGAAGACGGTGATTGGGGGGCATATTTTGGGAAGACTGAACCCCAGTGGTGTGGTGTGTACATGTGCGTACATGAGCGTGTGTACACCTGTAGCCAGAGGGGGCGTGTGCTGAGAGTAGCCTCTGCTTGGCCAAACGGATGCCTTTGCCATGTAGCTGGGCAAAGAGTGCTTTCCTACACCTACACATTTACCCATGTTGTTTCTCTGCCTGGAATGTTCTTCTACTCCCTCTTAAGCTATATTCTCATCCTTCAAGGCTTTCTGGGATTTTGTTCAGGCCTGTTGTGCTACTCTATTCCCCATCCTTCCTCTGCTCTGAACTGCAGGAGAGGAAGAGAGAGCCAGAGAGCCAGAGACCTGCAGGCTACATCTCCTCAGGTCCTGATCAACTGGTGTCCAGCTGGATTCACCAACGGGAGTCACTGCACAGCATGGAGGGCAGGATGGAGGCGGAAGCCAGGATATTTCTCCCCTTCCTCCCCAACTACTGGTGGAACCTCACAATCCCATATTTGGCTTCTTGTTTTCTCCATCATTGGTAACCAGTTCCCTGTATTAAATTCCTTCTGTTTTAAGTACTCAGACTATTTGGCTGAAATGCCTTTGTGGCAACACCAAAATATGCTACATAACCATTTTTTTTATTTACCTCTCTGCCTCCCCAACAAGACAGGGAACTCATAGAGGTAGGACCTGTGTATTACTGTTTTTTGGTACCCACCCCCCATCAGAACCTTTCTTTCCCACTCCAACCTGTCCAGGACCCCTTGCATAGAAGGTTCATGGTAAATGTCTGTTAATTGAATGAATAAATGACAAGAAAAAAATCAGCTTTCCAAGGGCTTGTAATTGGCAAGTAGACATTATCTTCCATTTTCTTGACACAACTCACAGGAGTCTATTCTTTGCCTACATACACAATGTATAATCATACAGCTATCTGCACGTTTATTTGATTGACATCTGTCTCTTCATCTTCAAGGAACAGAACTTGGAGCAGTTTGTTTAGCTCACCACATTGTCCTGGCACGGTGCCTAGCTGATAGTAAGTACTCATGACATCTCTGTTAAATGAACGGTGGGTGGCCCAGCTAGGCCTTCAAAATTTCTAATTGCTTTTAACTTAAAAGAGAAAACTTAGCTCCACCTACTTGGGAAAAAAAGGAAAATATGTTAGCAGATGAAATTGAAAGACAAAGGAAGTATAGAAGAATTTTGTCAGCATTACCAAATAGTATTTCCTTTTGCTCTCATGGACCATGATAGTCCCTATGCAGTTTGGTTTTAGAGATCTCTGTTAAGCAGAACAGAATGAAGACTGTGTTTCCTCCTGATGCTGCAGAGACATGGACCAGGCCTCTCTTCTCTACCCTTCCACAGTTTCCTGGGTGGCCCTCCGCCGAGCCAGTGCTGATCAGAGCCTAGTGTTTGGTGGGTTTACACACCTGAGTCTCTCACTAGCTTGGAACCTCCCAGAGGGCAGGAGCTGTGTTGGGGTGGTCACTAGTGCCAACCACAAACATTCCAATTCTTTCCTCCTTCCAGAGCACAGTAGGATTGCATTTCCTGGCTGTCTGTAAAGTCAATCATGGGCAATGATACGTGAGTAGAAGTGACATATGTCGCCTCCAGGAGGAAGCCTAAAGAGCGAGGAGCATGATTCACCAGGTTCCACCAGGTTCCGTTCCCACTGCAACAGGAATGTGGAAGCACCTGCCCCGCCTGTGTCTCCGGGACTTGGAGACGCAGCGCCCCCTCCTGACCGGTGACGGACATGCAGCATGAATGAGAGGTCGACTCACTACTTCCTGTAGGTTTCTGACATTGTAAGCTTGCCTGTTTCTGCAGCGCGATCCAGCCTCTCCTGCCTGGTAGCCAAGTCTTGTTCACTTGGTTGGCTACTGAATCCAGAATGGTGCCTGCCTTCTATCTTGTGGGCTCTTAAAAAAAAAAGGATGAATACTTGACAGCTGAGATAAAAGAGGCAGAAGAATCAGAGGTGTGGATAGTATTTTTGTTTCCTTAATTCTCCTTTCTCATGGCTCAAAGTGCTAATTTATCTGCTGCCCACTGCCCTATCCATTCATACATTCTTCCAGTTAGTTGGCCCATCTGTAGATATTGGGAGTAGTCACAGGGCACCAGCTCCTGGGTTAGGTACAGGGTGGATACGACATGATCTGTTCTCTTAAGAAACTCACAGGTGCCTCGGGAGACAGACCCAATGTGAGTGCTGTCACTCCCATGTCCAGGGTCCTGGGAGGGAACCCAGAGGCACCTGAATGAACATACATGCATTGAACATAAACATACATTTTGCTCAAGTCCTTGGTGCTTTCATTTCCTAGTCCTCCAAAGTCCCTTACATTGCTTCCCCATCCTTGGCCAGCACTATAGCTCTTGGAGGGAGGAAAGCCCAGCTCATCATCCCCATTTGCGAGATGAGGGAACAAGCACTGGGGGAGTGAGACACTCAGCTAGATTCAGTGCCAGAGCCGGCATGAAAACTCTGTGGTCAGAGTTTCTAAAGTCAGAGGAGGCTGACCCTCTCATTGGGAGGCCAAGAAAACAGTCTGATGCAGACCAGGGACTTTATCAATGTCATCTGGTGAATCAGTGTCAAAATCAAGACTAGAATCCCATTCTCTCTGTCTGAAAAGTTCCAGAGATGTCTTCATCCAAATCACGTTTTTTTTTTTTTAAACAAAAACAAAACAAAGCAAAACAAAACAAAACAAAAACAGTTTCGAACTGACTAACAAAAAGCTCCTTGTGTTGATTATTTTTGCTTCAAATCAAAACCAGTTAAATCCAAGAGTCAGAACCACCAGGCAGAAAATGTCTTCTCAAGATACTCTGAGATCCTCCTTGGTCTGACATGAGCGGAAAACCCAGACCTGAGCTCTGGGCCACATGCCGAGTGGACATCTTGCAGCCCTGCAGGCCGGTTGCACACGATCAATACTGGGGGTGTTTGTGCAAGCAGCTCTGAACACCAGAAGTCGGGGAGGCAGGCGGATAATTTTGCAGTGGGGGAGAAGGAAAGCAGGCCTACCAGGTATCTGTTACTCGGGGAGAGATGAAAGAGGAATCAGCAGGCCCCTTTCAAAGCTGAAAACAGCCTGCATGGGCCGCTCACGCGGATGGCCAGCCAGCTGGGCGACAGGGGTTTTCTTCCATTGTGGTTGACCAGACCAGGAGAACTTCTCTGGGCCGCTTGTGTTAATAGGTTGTTAATGATTGATGCAGGGGCCTTTTAAGTCACCAAATGAAAGGCAGAAACAGGGCCTGGCTTGGGAGCTGATGACTACACCAGCACTTGTTCCATGCAAAGGCGGAATTTTAAAACATTTATGTTGGCTGAGCTTGAGCTGGGCTACACAACAGCCCGTTGAAGGAATGAAACGATCTTGTCTTGTGTTCGCCTTCCTTTGTTCTTTCACTCAGACATTAAAAATACAGCAGGCTAAAAGGAGAAAATAAATTTCAAAGATCCTGCTAGATGTCAGGCTCAAAGAGGAGGCGAGATGTGGAGTGAGTTTGCTAAACAGATAAAGCAAGTGGGTAGGAGACAAGTGGTAGGTTCTTTGGACCCAGAGACTTCACTCTGTCTTGGCTTCTCGCAGCCTCCTTGGGGAATTTCTGGGACACGAGATTGGTGCACCTGCTGCCCCTAACCCAGAGGTTTTCACAGAGCATTAAAGTCCACTAGTGAAATAGGCATTCTCTGAGCTCTCGGCTCAGCTAAGCTGAGTTTCCAAAAGTAGTGTGGCTTAGGTTCTTAAAAACAATAACCTTAGCTATTGATGTATAATACAAATACAGAAGGGTGTTTTCTGGAAGTCATAAACGTGCGCCTTTCTATCCGTGCATTGTATATGTCCGTGTTGACCAATGGAAAACACCCAAGTCACCCGCACTTGTGTCAATGAGCAGAGCATTAGTCTGGACACATTGTATCTAAAGGATCAGATGATTTCTTTGGAACTCTCCCATTGCAGATCAGATTTTCTTACTTTGATAATAGCTAATAAGTAGGGTGATTGCATAATTTATCGCGAGTGGGACATCTTTGGGAATGAAAATGTACAATGGGCATAAGTTGGAATGGTCTCCGTAAAAGCTAGGATGAATGTTCACCCTGTCTACCAAGAGTCTACCAAAATACCAAGAGTACACATGTGTGGAGCACTGTGTGTTTGAGTCCGTGTCTGCCATGGCCTCACCCCAGTCCTTCTCTGCCTTTCTCTCCCTGCCCTGTGCTCCAGGAAGTGGATTTTTGTGCACCCTGTCTCAATGGTTCATGGACCTCTGGCTTCTGCCAATGGGAAGCCTAGCAGGAGATCAGAGGGCCAGAGGAGAGAGAAGTTGGAGTATTTCTTCCCTCTGCCTCCCGACACTGCTGTAGCATCGCTTCTGCCTTCCATGGCTCAGCTTCTACTGGGCTGGTCTTCCTCCAAATCCCAGCCCTTTCTGGCCTCTGGTTGACCAGTTCCTCTCCTTGCTTCCTCAGTGCTAGGGGCTGGAATTGGTTTTTCTCAATTGCTAGTCCTCAGGTGCCTCCATATCCCTCTTTGGTTTCTACAACCCTGCCCACACCTCTGTGAGTAGCTCCTGCATTGCTCATTAGAAGGTTCTCATTCGGAAAAAAAAAAAAAAAAGAAGAAGAAGAAGGTTCTCATTCGAACCCTCCGACTTGAAATCCGTGTCCTGCCAGGCTCCTGACAGATACATCTGCTTGCTAGGAGCCAGCACTTTGTGCCCATCATCTCATGGAGTCCTCACAGCAGTCCACGAGCTAGTGACTGTTCTCCCCATTTCATAGGTAAGCAAACCGAAGAGAGAGAAGTTAAATCATCTGCTAAGGTGCACGGGTAGAGATCAGGTCTCATGTGCACAACGGGAATCTGGGAATGGTGAGGCAGGTCTTGCTCAGACTCATACTTGGAGGGCCTCTGACCACATCCCGAAATAACCAGTAGCTCCAGCAGTTCAATGCAAAGCCTGCAGCACAGAGAAGAGACTCAGATACGTGTAAGACTCAAGCTGGCTTTCTGTAGACAGATAAAGCATTGACTGTCTATACTTTTCTCTTTTCCAGCCACTGCTTTAATATCGTAGAGCAGTGAGTTCCCCAGACCTGCAGCATCAGGTTCTCTTGTTAGAAATGCCAAGTCCATTTGCAGATAAAAAAAAAAAAAAAAAAAAAAAAAAAAGAAATGCCAAGTCCAGGGCCCCACCCCACCCCTACTGAATCAGATTACCTGCGATGTATTATTGGCGACCTGTATTTTAACAGGCCCTCCAGGGGATGCTGATGCCCTGGCCCTTGGGCTCTTGTGGCTTCCTGCCTGAAACCTGGCCCTGTCTGCATATCAGAGTTCCTCAGGACTTCCCAAATTCTTTCTTTGTCTAATGGGATTGAGAACAGGTGAGAAGATGACATGAAAAGCCCAGGTCCCCTGCCTTCCTCCTTCCCCTGTGGGCCCCTCTCTATTTATGCAGCTGTTAAAATCACTGGAGCAGTTGTTCATGAATATTTCAGGGCCTCCAACAAATCCTGAGTCTGACTAGTAAGGCAAAGAGGAAGGAACCCAGAACTGCCTGACCTTATGGCCTGTTGCTAACAGAACTAGTCATTTATTCATCAAATCCTAGTGCCCCCCCCCCCCCGAATCTGGAAGGAGAAGGCCTTGGTACACATGGGACCCATGGGAAACAAGGATAGTGGGTATAACCAATCTTCTCCATGCTGAGAAGTTTCTGTAGGAAGCTTGATGGGGACATTGCCAATACTGTGGTTTAAGTGGGGTTCTTTCTATTCTGTAGTGATAAGCAACAGAAGCTAAACCAAGGGAGAGATCAAAGAAGTTTATTAGAGGATGTATCAGTCAGGGTTCAATCTAAGAAACAGAACCAGTAGAAGATATATATTAAGAGTTTTATCACAAGGAATTGGCTTCCATGACAGTGGGACTGGCTCGGCAAGTCCTACATCTGTAGGTTAGGCTGTCACGAAGGCAGGCTGGCACTCTGAGGCATGGA